CAGGCTTTGCTTGATTCGCTCATTTTCTTTAACCTAACCTGATTGAAACCCCCCGCCACTCCCCAAACCCCCCTTACCAAAAAAAAAACAGATTTTTAAAATCATTAAGTATGTTGAGATCGGTGAAAAGTTAGCTGGCTCAAATAATTTTTTTTTTAAAGAAAAATTCGTTTAAGAAGTTATTAAAATATTTTTTGTTTAAAAATTTCAACACACAATTTTTTTTTTTTTTTCAGGCTTTGTTTGATTCGCTCATTTTCTTTATCCTAACCTGATTAAACCCCCCCGCCACTCCCCAAACCCCCCTTACCAAAAAAAAAACAGATTTTTAAAATCATTAAGTATGTTGAGATCGGTGAAAAGTTAGCTGGCTCAAATAATTTTTTTTTTAAAGACACATTCGGTTAAGAAGCTATTAAAATAGTTTCTGCTTAAAAATCTCCACACACAATTTTTTTTTTTTTTTAAAAATCAATTTCAAAAAAGGTTTCTTTAAACTTCGTAATTTCTAACGAACCTGAGTAAAAGAACCCGGCCTTGGCGAGGTTCAAGGGAGTCTGATGACCCTGCTGAAAGCTCGTGTCTATAAAAGATTCCATTCTTGATGGGAATGATGGTAACACCCTATGACTGTTCTGCTGGAGATCCATTGGTGGGTTTTCATCTTGACCCTCACCTTGATTCGTGAAAGACCGAGGCGTCGAGCCTCTCGACGGGGCGCGTTCAGCCTGAGAGACACTAGCTGCTTGTGAACCTGAACGTCTCGCCCCGGTGGCTGGATCTAGGGCAACGTCTTCGGACCTGTCCTGCGACGCGCGACGTCCTTGGATCAGTACACCGCCGTTGCCACCACTGACATTATCCCTGTAGGTTGCTTCTGAGTGGACGGAAAACGGAACGTTGTCGCAACGAAGCCCCGTTGCCATCGGGCAATTCGGAGACAGCGTTCTATGAACGACCGTCACATCATCTTCGGCTTTCCAGTCTCTCTTTTTAAATCTGCAAAAGCTGCACAGGACGGTATCTTCGATACCTCTCCCACAGTACACAAAGCCATTTAAAGCTAAGACAGCAGGGTGTTGACCAGCGTATTGTGGATAGTTTCTGAAGGATTGTAACCGCGTCTTTTCCTCGTTCCACATTTTTTAATTTTTTTTTTTTTTTTGTTTGCATTCAATAAATCGTGACATAGGATTTAATCAATTGAAATTTAATCAACGGAAATCTGTTTCTTATCCAAGTTTTTTTTTTTTGCTGTATTAATAAATTGAAACAATTAAATTNAAAGAACACACTGAATGGCTGCTAGTGAAAAAATTATTACAAATGTCTTGTGTTCAAATTGTTTTATATATGAGTTGAAAATGTATAATGCAGGCATAAAAAAATTCCATTTGTTTGGATTCATAAAAGAATCTTATCTTATCTTATATCTTTTTATTCAAACTTACTTTTAAACTTGAAAAAAAAAAAAATTTTCCTCAAGTAAAATAATATTAATTATTTTCTTTAATCCATAAACTCATATAAAGAAAATACATTATTACACAGTTAAGTTATTTTATTTAAATTATAAATAATCTATTGTTTTCGAAGTTCAATTACAAATAAATAAATATATATATATATATATATATTATATTATATATATATATATAATATTAAAAATCTCTAACACTCATACGTTAATTGCAAATCCTAGAATACTAGTCCATGTAACGAAACATAATGTTATGTGGTGCGATTGAGAACTCATTAAGATCCACGTCAGCCTCAATAAATGAAAATACAATATGCGATTGACACACACAAACACACAGAGACATAACATACACACACATTCACAATCTATTACACTCACACACTCTGGCACGCACTAATGCATTTATAATTTACCTACAAAACCCACCTCATACCTATTAAAATGGTGAATGATTCAAAATTGTCTGTTGTGATTGAATATGCACATACTGAGGAGATTTGCGCATGAAAAGACACCCCCTCCCCCCTCCCCCCCACACACACATTCCTTCAATAATAACTATTTACCAATATCACTATAACTTATCCCAATGCATGGCAGTCTACTCTTGAATGGTGACTTCTATACTAACATAAAGTGGTTTTTGTTGAAAACATGGCACAGAGGTAGGACTCACCAATTGTTGAGGGGAGGGACGGGACACTGATGAAATTTATAACGTACTCTGTGCCCAACTTGTTGCATCTTCATCATCACAATCCCGTGTGGCGTTCTAGACCCATCTAGGGCACTGGCCTACTCAAGGGCACAGTTCTTCAGTTCAGACTTAACTACCGCTTTTTGTCTGCACGAGCGGAACCCCAGCCATGAATGATGTAGCTCCATTTTTTTTTTTACATTATCAATCCAACTTAGTCTTGGTAGACCACTGAGCCATTTCCCTCCGTATTTGTGTCTGATCGCCATTTCTGCTGACGTGAATTTTATCTAAATCACTGTGGGGAAATCAAGGTGTGTTGTGTTTCCCCATTTCTTTTTTTAAAATAACAAATAAGATCGGGGAAATTACAAATGAGACCAATGTTATTTTGAGGCCAGGCCGACCTACAAATACGCATGACTTAAACGTTCTGGAATCTTCTGTGTCGGAACTACTTTTCCAATCTCTGGTTAATAACTGTTTGCTTGGTAGTGGCTTTCTTTTCATTTATTAAATAGGTTTTTTGTGAAGGTCCTTCGTTTCCCTTCTTTTTTTTTTTTAACAATAAATGGGAGGGTAAGAGAGAGAGAGAGAGAGAGAGAGAGAGAGAAGGAGAGAGAGATGGGGAGAGAGAGAAAGAGAGAGGGGGGAGAGAGACGGGGAGAGAGAGAGAAGGGGGGATTTATCTTAAAGCCATATAGCAAGAATAAGCACACACACACACATACACACACAAAAAAAAACTAGTTTAACGGTACCCCCACATAAGATCCGAAAGCTGCTTGACGTCACTATAATAATAATAATAATAGGTCTTATATAGCGCGGTACCCCAGCCTAGGGCTGGGCTCACCTTGCTGTACATAAAAATGTTTATCAAAAGAAACACAATCATGACATTAAAATAAAATACATATATATATACATATATATGTATCACTGACCTCATGTTCGGAAAGCTCCTATAGCTCAATGGATCTTACTAAAGATAACCAAATTGATAAATAAGTTATTGGAGAACAAAAACCTGATGTAACCGATCAAAAGGTATGTCTTTGACTATACGAACGTGTCGAGTCATCTCTAAAGCGCACACACCCATACACAGACACATCACAATTGAAAAACCTCTTCCAACTGACCTTCAACTTCACGAATGGGACGTTGACGTATACAGATGAGTACCTCAGGTGGGGCTAACGTGATCAGCACACATTTGGGTTTTATTTATGACACTTTGTATATATTTTATATAATATAAGGCACTATATATACATATATATATATATATATATATATATATATATATATATATAATATATATAAATATATCTATAT